CAAATAAAAGGCTATCGCTTTGTTTATTGCTTCTGTATATTATAAGTCACATGCTGTGCTTAATAGCCATACGCAAATTATTTTAATTTACCAACATTGGCTCAGTCTTTCCAAAGTCTTAGAGGATTTGATCTTCACTGTATTTGACTTTCTCCAGGGGTTTTAGCTTTACTAAGGTTTTGCCAGAGTTTCGCCATTTTGCCATAGTTTCGCCGTTTTGCTGGAGTTTTGCCAGTTTTGACTTTTGCCGGATTTAGTTTTGACTTTGCCATTTGCCAAAAATAGTTTTGCCTAACAACAGTAGGTGTATCAAAAAAGTAAGTGCAGGATTATCAAAAATGTAAGTTTTGCATCACTATGGCCCCAAAATTTTTTCGGCACGTGATTTTTAGCCAATTAGATCGAAAGATCAGGTGTAACGTAAAATCAAAACGCAAAAACAAAACAATCGAATAAGCGAAAGATTTAATGCAATAAATATTATCTTAGGGTTAGGATTAAGGTCAAGGAATGGGCATAGGTTATACCAAAATTTCGCAAGGAATTTTTTTTGTTAAAACATGTAAAGCAGTTTTATAAACAAAATTTCGAGTTATTGACGATTTTTGTAAAGGCGTAATTTTCATGTTACGTGCCGAAAAAAATTTTGTGGGTGAGCATATGGGCTGATCGGGCTCATTTGGTGATGTTTGCAAATCACATATGAAGATCTTTACGAATTTTGTACAACTAATACTACCAATAATATTTATCACAGCTGGTTTGTGTGATGTTTGCGAATACCAGATAAAGATTTTCTAGCAAAATGTATTGTCTTTTCTAACTAATCAAGATAGTTGGAGATGAGTTGGAGATAAGTTGGAGATGAGTTGGAGATGAGCTGGAGGTAAGAAATAAGTTGGAGTTCGTTTGAATTAGAATATGTAGAAGTTAAACCAACATGGTATTATTTTTTTTATTATTGTTTTGTTGTTTTGTTTTTTTTTTAAACATTTAACTGCCAATAAAGAAATTTTGCTGACTTTACTATTTTATTTTGAATTTTTGAACAATTAACAAAATGCTGCCTAGTTCAAAAAATTTGCCAACACAAAACTCTCTACTTCATAATTCCTAAGCTTGTCCTTCAAATTGTAACCCTCTTCAAGAAATTCAGCAGCAAAAGAATAATAGTTCGCAAACTAATTCTTTTGAGATTGTTGATAATTATCTGAACATTTATGTAACTAGATATGATAGTAAAAAAAAAATATATATCTTTATAAAGTTTTTCATCTTAGATATTATTTCCCAAATGTTAAGCAAACTCAAAGAAGTTGTTATCTAATTCCAAATAGATATTTAGTTGGTATTAATATTAGTGGTATAGATATTATTACTGAAACCTGATATAATTCTAATGATCAAGTAATCTTTACAATAACATGGGATAATAAAAATAAAAAAAAATTCTGTATCAAGTAATAAATCTGCAAGTAATGTTGCGATTTTATTTTTAGAGGTTAGTATTAAATTAATTAATAATTGTTTATATTTATACAATATATACTTACTATATATTTATAACAAAATAGAAGTTGCACAACAATAATAAATCAGCATTTTCTGGTGTAATACTTTTTGGGTTTGATATGTTTAAAAAAAAGATAAATTAATAATAATCAAAATCAAGACCAATTTAAAAGAAAGGCTCTATTTTATTTACTTAAATCAAAATCACAAAAAAACAAATGGCTTAAATTCTTGGCCTGTAATCTTCATAGTGAAATTGAATCTACAATTCAATTATACAATTTTTATTATACTAAACTAAAATTTATAGAATTAAATATAAATAGATTACTTGTTAATCTTCAAAATTTAAATTCTAAAAAATTCGAATCATATCAACTTTTAGATTCGATTGCTTGTGCTTATGATGAGCTTCTAATTTCCTGTGATGAGTATCGTCGACTTGCAGCCATTATACCTGAAATAGAACGTATATATAAAGTTGAGGAATGCTGCCAAGAAATAACAAGAATCATGAACCATATGATCCCATTTCATATAGTTCAAATAGACTCTATAACTCCAAATAGAGCTTATCAATCACTTAAAAACATTTTGTTTGTTTTAATTTCTGAATTAGCATATGGAGCTTCACTAGTATTATGTATAGATGATATTATTCACATCAAATTAAGTGAGGATGGATGACAAGTTGGTAAACATCATAATCATATGATGTTTACTGCTTGTATATTAAATGAATACGATACAATTTTAAGTCTATTAAATCAATATTGTATTTTTCTTTATACTGATATAGAACAATACGAATTTCTTAGTCAAGCTTTTAAATTTTTAATCGATAAATTGTTAAGTTTAAATTTAGAAGAAATTATTGATTCAAATAATAATCATTTGAAAATTAAATTTTGGTTCGGTTCTGATTAAAAATTCATATCCTTAATTCTTGGCACTAAAGGATCAACAGCAAATTATTTTTGCTTATATTGTAATTGTAAAAGTGTAAATTGTTAGAACATAGATTTAGATTACAAAAATTTGTGTAATACTTTAAGTCAAAAAAATTTGAACCTTTTATCATTTTTAGAAAAACAATATTGTATACCAGATGAATTATATGTAATGCTCCGAATTACTGATGTTTTATTTGAATATCTTTTTTTAGAATTACCAACTGGACTTGCATTTAACAAACAATTAAAAAAGACAATAGCAAAATAACAATTCGAGAACAAATAGAATTAACCATTCACTTTATTGGCATTACAATTTTTAAATTTAAAAAACCTGAAACACTAAAAGGAAGACGGCATTGGATATCGTTAATGGGACCAGACAAATTAATAATTTTAGAAAAATTTCTAATTAGTTTATTTATTCCAGGTCAACAAGGAAAAGATATACAAGAACTTTGGCATGATTTTTATTATTTATATAAAACAATGCATAGAATTGACTTAACAGATGATGCTATCATTAATTTTGAAATTCTAGCATGACAATAGGTTAAAAATTTTTGTTGACCAACAATTGAAACTCAAGAAAAAACAATTTTGTAAGATGGACTATACTAACATAATGATATTACACCCTATGTGCACATTCTCACTTGTCATATTCTAAAATTTATAAAATATCTTAAAGCAAAAAATTTATATATATGATGGTTTTCCTGTTCAGGTGTTGGAAAAAAAATCATGATCATATACAACTTTTCTATGGAGGTATAACAATAGGTGGTGGCAATTCCTCAGTACCAGTAAGTATACAATATTGGGCAAAAATTGTTGAATAATGGTAATTTGGCTTAACCAGGCAAATGATTGGCTGACACGTGTTGTGAAGCAGCACATGTTCAGCTGATCATTTGCCTGGTTGAGTCAAATTACTGTTATTTAACAATTTGCCCAATATTGGTGTTATCCGGCAATTTATGATCATAGTCCTGATCCACTACCCCTATATAAAGATTTTAGATCTAAAAAATGATAATCATACAAAAAAAAAAAATCTTTCGCTGGTTCAGTAACTCTCTTTCCAGTGCCATACTTTTTTTTTAAAAAAAAAGACTTTTTATACCTTGTCACTGTAAAACGTATTTTGAAGCTGTACCCACTTTGTAATGCCAAAGTCAAAGCATAAAGTAAACAAACCCGGTGATGTGAAGATGAATACCATTTCATCTAGGACCAATAATGCAATGAACAAAGCCATTTCAACCATGATCATAGAAATTAGAGCCGGTAAAGCAAAAAAAAAAGTCATTTCAGACATGGTCAGTAATGAAGACGTAAACTTGAACAGTAATGTTGGGTCAATTGTGACCTGTAATAATGAAATTAAAGTTGGTAGTTCTAATGGACCTACTTCAACTAAGAGTAATAAGATATATTTTTTTTGTTGAATTTCTATTGTATGCAAACAAAAAAAAAATACTAATATGAAACTTCAGTAGGTTAGGTATACAGAACCTACCTTGGAGGAACTTGAAACCATTTGTAGAAACTCAAGAATACAATCAACACATAAGGCAATGGAAGTTTGGATCAAAACCCTTGAAGAGTTTCATTCCGATATTGGTTACGAAGGTAAAATTAAAGATGTTGATTCGAAAGAAGTTTTTGAATATCAGCTGTTAAGATTTGTGTGTGCTATGAAGTGAAAAGATAGCTGTGAATACCATGCGTCCTCGATCCGTAACTATATGGCTGCGATTTGGTGGCACTTGAACCAACATTCGGTGATGCCGAAGCCTGTAGAGATCCTTAACCCAAAGGTGTATTTTGATTTGAATGCCATTGTGAATAGTAAACTAAAAAATTTATTAGCGAAAGGTTTAGGTAAATGTGCTGGTTTTGATGGGTTGACCTTGCAAGAAGTTGAGCAAGTTCTCTCCCACCATACTTTGCAACATAATAATCCAAAAGGACTGTTGCGGCGTATGTTTTTATAATTTGATTCTTTTGGCTCTGCGGGGTAGTGAACATTATGACCTTCAGATAAATAGCTTTGTAAAAAGATTTGATGAAGGAATCGACGTGAAATTGTATAGATCGAAAACGAATCAATGAAGACTTGATGATTACGACAGTCAAGCTGAGGTTATTAGTTTACCAAACATCAAAAGTATAATTAATGATTATGAGCTCTATTTTAGTAAGCGTCCAGTTACAGAGATGACAAATTTTTATCTAAAACCCGTTCCAGCAAACTCAGATAATATCTATTTTAATTTTGACATTTTTTTTTGTTTTCTTTACTAATATATTTTTTCTTTATATTAGTTAAATTTGGCGGCCAATGGTTCTATAAGCAAGCAGTGAGTGAAAAAAAATTACGAACATACTTTTGGGTTATCTGTAAATCTACGGATATAGAATTTGGTGGTCGTAACTTGTCAAACCACTCAGAAAGAAAAACGGCGGTTCAAGTAATGAAGGAACTTGGCTATTTTTATGCTGTGGTTATATCAATTACAAGGCATAAGTCATAGAAAGGTCTGGCTGCATACGAACGACCAAAATCAATCATGCAATAAGAGGGCTTAACGGATTTTTAAGGGCATTGACGCTTGTAAATAAAGACAAAGGATTGTTTAAAGGTATTTATTCAATTTCAATTTTAATTTTTTTGTGCAAAAATTCTATTTATTACATTTTTTTTTCTTTATTTTTAGAAAATGAAACTAAATTAGGTGGTGATTTTGTTCTAGCAAGTTCTTTGATAAAAAGAATGAGTTCATTAGTATCACTTGTAAGTGGTATTGATAAGCTTGAAGTATCACCAATTGATGACTATGAATCACTAGAAGCAACCATTAATTATGAATCACCAGGAGCAACCACCACTATTGAATCATTAGGAGCAACTACCACCGTTGAATTAGCAGGAGCAACCATCGTTAAATCACCAGGAGCAACCACCGTTGAATCACCAGATCGAAATGTGTTGGGTGAAATTGAATGCCAAAACATTCACCAAGAAAATATACAAAACGAAGAAGGTCAAAAGAAATTTATAGAAAAATTCCTTATTAGAAATACATTTAACAATTGTGTTTTTCATTTTTAATTTCCTAAAAATATAAAATGAAAATTAGTATTGTAATAAAAATTAGTATTGCAATAAAAAAAAAAATAATAATAAATACAATTACTTAGCTTCATGTATTTTTCAAATTGTATACAATTGTTTGTAATATTTGTGCAAATCATGAATATTCGGCATTATGTCATAATCTTGTCAAAAATATCAAAACATTGTTGCGCCATGATCATATGAGTTTGCTGGATAATATACAATATGTGCTCTTATGAAAATCGACAATTATACTATCATATTAATAGAATATCATCTTCTTTCACTAAAAAAATTATTAAATTTTAAAAGAAGTAAAAGATTTTCATATTTGGCTAGATTGACTATGGTATATGATGCTAATAAAATTATGTAATTATTTTTTTTTTTTTTTTTTTTAAATCTTCAAAGGAAATTATGTAATTATTATATAACACAATATATAAATTTTAATACATATAAATTTTAATTAACAATTAAATAATAACATAATACTTTGATTATGATACTTAACCAGTTATACTATAGAATCCTGACATTCAAAATCCCAACATACAAAATCCCAACAAACAAAATCCTGATATCAAAATCCTGACACTGCCAAAATACTTATAGTAGCGATATTAAGATTTTGGCGCTGTCAGGATTTTGTTATCGGGATTTTGTTTGTCGAGATTTTGTATGTCGGGATTTTAAATGTTGGGATTCTGTAGTATAACCACTTAATCAAATTATAGTTTACCAAAAACAAACAATTAAATAACAATCTTACACTTTGTTTATAGTGCTTAACCAAATTATTAAAGGCAAACGAATATTAAGGTAGTATTACAGTACCGTGGCCTTCTTAACAGCAGTACTATAACAATAACACAGCTACAGAGATCCTTTACAGGTTTATAGCGGTGTCCAACAGGTAAGTATAATTTCTGCTTCTTAGAGAAACTATACCCTTCTGTCTGTGGCAG